TGTATCTACAAGTGAAAAGAACACTAAGGATTGCTAGCAAACACCAGAAGCTAGAAGAGACAAGGAAGGATTCTTTCCTGGAGCCATCAGAGAGAGCCTGGTCCTGCTGACACCCTGATTTTGGACTTCTACTCTCCAGAACTGTGAGACAATAAGTTTATGTTTTTTTAAGTCAGCCCGTGGTTGGTCCTTTGTTACAGCAGCCCTAGGAAACTAATACAGCAGTGTTTTGTGGTTTGGAGGTGTACATGTTTTGCACATTTTTTGTTACAATGTTTTCGTAGATTTTTCATGTGTTCTTGTAAGTGATAGAGGCTTTGCAATTTATTTCTAGTTGTTCATTGCTATTCTTTAAAAAATATAGTTCATTTTTGTATGTTGACTATGTATGTATTCTGCAATCTTGCTAAATTATTAGTCTTAATAAGTTTTTTATAGCTTCCTTAGGAGTTTGAATTTACATGATCATGTTACTACTTGCTTTCCAATCTGTATGCCATTCATTTATTTTCCTTGCTGTATTTTACTGTAATGCAAGTGCAGTGTTTAACAGAAAGGGTTGGAGTGGGCATCCTTAGCTTTTTCTTTGTTTTAGGGGGACTACATTCTATATTTCATAAGTATGTCTGATGTGAGCTATAGGTTTTTTGTAGATGCCCTTTATTGATTTGAGGAAATTTTCTTCAGTCTAGTTAACTGAGATATTTTGTCATGAATGGGGTAAGCATTTTCAAATGATTCTTCTACATCTATTGAAATAATTTTAAAATTGCTTGTATAAATGAAATAACTCCAATATACATAAAGTAAGCTAGAAAGAAAAATTAACAAATTAACCACTGTTGAAAATTCCGTTATAATTTTCTCTCAATCATTGATAGATCAAGCAAACAAAAATTTAGGAAAGATACAAAAGAATCAAACCATACAATTAACAAGTTTAATCTCATGGTCAAAAAAGAACTCTGCATCTAATAGTTAATGAATTTATATTCCTGTTACATCCATGAAACATTTGTAAATATTATTAATATATTATTTAATAATTCATTTTTTGACAAAGTTCAAAGACTTGAAGACTTGACAAATATAGGTTGTTTTCTTCAACACCAGTGTTACTATGTCAATTTTTTATAAAAATTAATAAATCATACCCATATATTTCAAAATTTTTAAAAATAGACATTTTTACTCTAATGAACATTTCCTTCCAATATTTATTCTCTCTGCAATTATAATGCATTATTCAGACAATGGTGTTTTAGATTTAATGATGTATAGTAAATATCTTATAGACCCAAGGAGAAGATACCTAGACCTGAACTTTAAATAATACACTGCCTATAAATATTTGAGTAATGCAGGGAAGTACTCAGAGGGGGAATGCTTATGTTAGTAAAGATTAGAAGGCTGAAAATTTTGACATATTCATCTAATTTAAGAGTTTAGGAAAAATAAATAAATTTAAAGTAGAAAGAAACTATAAGAGTAGAAATTAATAAAGTAAGAAATAAATTTCTAGTTGATAAGATTATGGAGCCTCAAAGTTAATCATTTGAAATGAATGGCAAAATAAACCTGTGGTGAAATTTATTGACAGGATAAAAAGAAAGTACAGGATTCAAATGGACACATAAAAGACACATCAGAAAATAAATACATAATATAAAATTATGAACATTGTAGCAAACACTGAAAACTTGAACAAAGTGAACAAATTCCTGTGAAAAATATAACTTACTAAACCTTGAGTCAATAGGTCATTCAATGTCTACTGAAAATAGAAATTAGTAATTTAAAATATTTCCATGAAGGAAACACCAGATCGTGATAGTTTTATAGATGAGTTCCATCAAAATTTCAAACAACAGATTTTTTTTTACAATCCTGCACAGATTTAACCAGAGAATAAAAATGGACTAATTCGCAAGTTTTTATTGTGCCACTATAGCCTTTTTCCTAAATCAAAAGTTTAGTGAAAGAAAGGAAAATTTTAACACATCAGTATCACTTGTAAATAAAAATGTAAAAATCCTTAATGAAATACCACTGAATTTAAGAGACCTTCCTCAATCTGATAAAATGTAACATCAGCAGATATCATTTTTAATGGTAAAATACTAGAAAATTTCTATTTAAAATCAGAATTTAAAAAGGAATATAAAATTTAACTGCTTCTTTCCAGCATTGTGATTATCAGCATAGAAAGACAAGATAAAGAAAGAAGAAAGACCTTAGGATTAGAAACATTGTCTATGGAGAAAAATCCAAATTGAACCATATAAAATTTATTAGAAGTAAAAAGATAGAGACTTTAACAAGGTGGTTGGTTACCATTATTTTACAATAAAGTATTTCCATATATGAGCAATTAGATTACTAATCAGAATTTTAACAGTATTTCTTATAGCAGTGGAAATGATAAAATGCAAAGGATAAATCCAACAAACGTGGGAAATTTTAATGAGCGAAGTTAAAAATTTCACAGAAATTTAAATGGAGAATGCCTAGCTCTTGGCTGATAAAACAATGCTGTACTACATGCCAAGCCTCCCTAAATTGATGTATTGATTCATTACAGTTCATATCAAAATTCCAGTAGGATGTTTTGTGCAATTTAATAACCTGAACCTAGAGGAAGAGCAAAGAGGAAAGATTTGAGATATGAGGGAATTTGCTTTTTCATATATAACAACATAATAACAAAGATAGTGAGTTATTGGTTTATGGATAAATGGCCAGTACAAGGAAAAAGAAATAGATCCTAGCAAATAGGATACATTTATTTATGACCGAGGTGACATCACAGATCATTGGGGGAAGTGGAAATATTAAATAATGCCAAAATATGTGTTATAGATATGGAAAAAGCCAAGTTGCATCCATATCTCAAACCATACATAAACTCACTTCAAGATAGACAAGGATGTAAATGCTAAAAACAAAATTTTTTTAAATTTCAGAAAAAAATATGAGAATATCTGTCCATTCATAGGCTTAGGAACAATTTCTTAAACAAGACACTGAAAACACTACTTTTAAAAGAGAAGATTGATGCATTCAATGACATTAAATTAAGTACTTGAATTCATCAGAATGTTAAATGACAAGATCCAAGTAGAGATAACATAATTGCAATATATTAAATCTCTGTAGAATTACTAGCAAAATAGATTGACTTCCATCAGGAAGATAATAAGCTTTGGAAGGAAGCAACATTTACAAATCACATATACCCATCCACCCCCAACTCTATGCACAAACCCACACAAGACCACTCACAAAGGCCGATAAAATGAACTTCATTTTTTGCTGGTGTCATTCTTATTTTACACCAGAGGCAGATCTGATTCTTGACCAATACCAAAAGCATGTAATATTTAGGCCCTAGTATATCTGGCACATTAAACTATCATTACCCTGTCCTTGAGCATTTACATTTACAAAGTGAAATCATGTTACAAGATGAGTAGCAATTCTTATTATGCCTCTCTTCAATAGCTTCAACTGTGGTATCCTTTTTCCCCCCAAATCCATTTAGAATGTATACACTAATTCTGTAAATCATTTTGTGCTCAGTCTTTTGGGATATTGTGTGGTAATTGTAGTTTCCATATCAGTTGGGGCTGTAAGAGTCTATGATTTGATTGAGTCTAAATTTTTTAAAGGCTTTGGAAGGAAAATAGCAGTGAACCCTTCCAGTGGGACCACATGATCAAAACAGATCAATGTCTTTTATGTAACCATTAAAAAGAGGAAAACAAGAGTTCCTGGCAACAGACTCTTCCCCTTCCCAAGAGGGCAGGGGTAAAAACAAACAAAAAAAAGAAAAAAAATGTATAGAGTATTTCTAAGAGGAAGTTGGAAATATTGGAGGGCATTTCTAGAACATTTAATTATTGCTACTTTAGACACCTTATAAAATGTGAACTCTCAGTGTTTTATATACGTTACAGGAAAGCATTTATTTTCTGATAACTGAATTTGGTCTATTTAATGAATAATGTATGGTGTAAGTAGACAGACAAAAGAAGTCATTTCTTGAAATAGCAACACTGTTTTCATTTATCATTAAGCGTTTTCTGATTGTAAGGAAGGAAAAAATACTATAATAAGGGATTCTATTGTACAAGATGTGCCTATTTTTGAGACACATGTAGGAGAAAAAATATATTAAAAAACAAATTATAACATGTTTATTTATATACGTGATGTGTTTCATAATTAAATGTGAAGAAAGTCTGCTGTAACAATCAATTCAGTGCTATTTTTGCCATAGCATGATTAACATTTTAAAATTTTGTTATAGAGGTCTTTAATTATGTTAATTATTACTGCTCTGTTTTAGGCTATCTCTTAGAAAATGTAACAATTGTGTGTAATCAATACACAATTTAGATGTATTAATAAGTTTGTGGATGGATTTCTCATTTTCTTTTCTAAAGCAATGGAAGAACAGCTAAACTAATACTAAAAGAAGATGGTTTAAGATGTCTTAAATTATACTTCTCCATGAGTGTGAAAAATGAAGAATTGGGTACATTTAATTTATTAGTCATGCATATTAGAAAAAGGCACATGAATGCTCTTGAAATAACATATTGTCTTGCTTTGAAATTTATATAGACTTAAGTACCTTTGTCTAAAAGCATCTGAAACTGACTTAACATAGCTATATTTAACTTAGCTTTTTGTTCAATAGATTTTATCAATCAGCATCAAATCACATACATATATTATTTAATATTATTTCAAGCTTTAAGGCATTTAGGAAATTTATTTTATACATTTTAAGAATAATTTATTTTAAGAATAATATCTTCACATTATGAAATATGTGTAAAAATAACCATGAGCTTATAATGACTTTCCTTCTCTCTATATTTTTTATTCTCAAGTATTTCATTCAAATTTCTTTCATTTGTTTTTCAGGTTGGTGAGGAGTTTTCTTTTTCCTTAATAATCAGTAATTTTAATTATTGCTATTGTTTGCTTCATAGGATCAAAAAGAATAAGTGATAGTGAAGTCTCTGACTATGACTGTGATGATGGTATTGGTATAGTATCAGGTAAGAATTTCAGAATTATTTTATAGTAATAAGGAAGGGTTATTCATCATTATCTACCAATAAACAGATTAAATAATAAATAAAATGAGAAAGAAATAACTTGCCTCTTTATCCACCCCCCCTAAAAAAAAACAACCTTACGGCAGTTTAACCTCTTGAATAATTCCAGTTGCTGGAACTCTTGTATCAGTTATTAAACTGAATATTCTTACTGAAATATGTCAGATAAGTGAATACTTCTAAGTTTTCTATTTTTAAACTACTAAATAATAAGGATTTCACCATAAATTTGAAGTTATTGTATAATTGAAACTTCTTTATACTGCATAAGTGTGAAAAAAATAAAATCTTTTTGACGTCACCAACATACCCAAGTATGTCAAATATTTGCACTTTTTGAAATTTTTTCCATTGTTGTCATGTTGATTATATATCAGGCACAGCTTTATTTTCAAATTATGGTATTGTAGTTTAAATTTTGCCTGATTTATGATTGGAAATTGATGTTTTAAAAAATATGATGATTTCAAATCCTCGAAATCTGTTGCTATTAGAAAGCTGAAGTATCACCATATTTTTTTTCGTATTCTTTTTATCAACCTGAAAATCAGGATTATGGTATTGTGGTTTTTGAAATGTTATCTTTTCATAGGCTCATATCTTTAATAAATTACATTTACATAAGTATCATGATAACTAAGACTTAAACGTTAATACTGTTAAAAAATACTTTTCTATGTTTTCTTTTTTTTTAATGTCCTTTTTGTTTTAAGCTGCATCATTAACAGTAGTTTCAATAGAGACTAAATGCTTCAGTCAATAGTTTATCAAGTAATTTGACTGTCAGCTGAACCAAATAATCCTATATTCTCTGTGAAATTGTTCCTAAGGCATTTTGAATGTGAATTGCATGTATTCATATACACAGTACCTTCTTACCATGTTAACTAGCATTTTATTTTTTTTTATTTTTTATTTATTTTTGTTAACTAGCATTTTAAACAACTTACCTAAGTCTAGACACCAGCAAATCTGTTAGTACTTTCTTCCCCATATGCCGAGATTCGTTTCCAACTGCACATTACATATCTGTCAAATTCAAAGTATCTGTTACAACCGTTCAAAACCCTTTTAACCTGAACTATCAGCCTTTTCTCAATAATGAGCAGTTTCAGCTGCTTTATTTAATTTTTCCAAGTTTACAAGGCAGATGTCTTGAAAATTAACTATGCCAGAGGGAATATTTCCCATGTGATTACTTACTTCATTTATTCTGACTAATTCAAGTCAGAGGTAATTTTTTATATTTGCATTGCTAATGTTATTCTTCAAAGGAAATAGAAACTTTGATTGATATTGAAATTTAGGGTTCTCAGGGAAGCTACTGCTGGCATGGATTTTGTGCCCCAGGGGTATACTGAGTAGGGAAAGAATGGTTGTACACCAACTATTCTTTTTTTAAAAATTTTTTTTATTATATTAATCACCATACATTGCATCATTAGTTTTTGATGTAGTGTTCCATGATTCATTGTTTGCATATAACACCCAGTGCTCCATTCAGTACGTGCCCTCTTTAATACCCACACCTGGCTAACCCATTCCCCTCCTCCCCTCTAGACCAACTATTCTTTGAACTAGTTGACTCACCCCACAATGCTAATAAATGGTATATATAAAATATGAGATTATAGCCACTTAGAAAATGTTAGTGTTATTTTCTACTCTGACCTGAAACAATATACAAATACATGTAAATAATTTATTTTCCATTGGGAAGGTAGAGTGACATTTTAATAATTAGCTCTTAAATGTCACATATAATATTCTAATTTCCTAAGTTAATTACCTAACCTCAATACTCATTTTTTATCACTTCAGAGTAGCTCTTCATATTATTAATAATGAATATTTTCTTAAAACTCTTTCTTCTTAGTTTTCATGAGACTGCATTATTTGAATTTTCTTCTTGTAGTAACTCTTTCTCTTTTTCTCAATAGTCTCCTTTGAACGCCAGTCATAGCTCTTTTCTCTCTATATATTCCCTTACCTTGGATTTCAATGATGCTCCTTTTATAAATGCCTCTCAAAACTTTATTGACAGTCCTAATGCCTTTCCCAAGATTCTTTTCCACATGTATAACTGTTTTCCTCTGAGGCTGAAAATACTGTTACCTCCTCCTCTCCAAACTGGTAAACCTTCTAAACTTCTCTCTTTGTAGTATACTTTTTTTTTTCCCAAAGATTTGACATTTGACACTTGACACACACACACACACACACACACGCGCGCGCGCGCGCGCGCGCGCGCGCGCAGATAAAGAGAGAGAGAGAGAGAGAGAGAGCACAAGCAGGGGGAGGGGCAGAAGGAGAGGGAGAAGCAGGCTTCCCACTCAGCAGGGAGCCCGATGTGGGGCTCCATCCCAGGACCCTGGGATCATGACCTGAGCTGAAGGGAGATGCTTAACCAACTGAGCCACCCAGGCACCCCTTTGTAGTGTACTTTTAACTTCCTGGTGGGCTAATCAAATGTTGAGTCATTTATTTCTTCCCTTTTTTTGCTTTTGTATCTGATCACAAATTGTTGTTGGTTCATACTAGAATGTCCCCAGACTCCATTGTTGGACTTTTTTGCTGTCTACATTCACTACTCTAGTGATTGCATCTCTTTAAAGTCCCATGCCTTCATATAGCATCTGTATGCTACACTTCCCACATGTCCAGTCCAAACCACTTATTTGTATTCTAAATTTTTATTTTCTACTGCCCACTTGACATCTGGTGCTTGGAAATGTAGCAGTTATCTTCAGCTTAACATGTCTAAAACTCAACTCCTGATCTTTCCCACCAAACCAAGTTATTGGTGGTAACTCCATTCTTTTACTTGAATTAAAATTTTACATTTGTTCTTCTCCTACTCTTCCTCCTATGTCCAACATCAAATCTTAGACAAAATCGTCCCAGTTCCTCTACCTTCAAAATATGTCCAGAATCTGATTATTTTCCATGTCTCCACTGCTGTCGTCCTGGTTCATCTCTTGCCTGACTTTCTCCTTTCAGTCTGTTCTCAGCATGGCAACTGAAGTGATCCTATTTAAAGAAGATAACTCCATAAGGGCAAAGCTTTTTGTTTGTTTCGCTCACTGTAGCTCATAGAATAACATGCTCATACAGTCATAAATACTTGTTGAATGAAAGATTGTATTGATTTTTTTCTGTGTAGTCTGTTGCTACTACCAGTTGTCATACTCCAAAGTTGTACCACTAGGTATATATGGCTATTTCTATTTAAATTGATTTAAAATAAATACATTAAAAATTCAGTTTCTCATTAACACTAGCAAGATTTCAAGTGCTCAGTAGTCATGTGTGTCTAGTGGCGACCATATTGGACAGTGATGATAGAGAACATGTTTATCATTTTAGAGAGTTCTGTTGGACAGTCTGTTCTGTTTTATAAGAGCAATTAATCTTGCTGCAATCTCTCTAACCTTTAGATTGAATTGTATACTGCTGTCAGCTTCATCTTCCTAAATTATTACTGTGATCATGAAAGATGAATGTAGTCTTAGAGCACAGTGAGAGCATTGGGAGTGAGATAGAATTTGCTTTAAATCCCGGATCTTGTATTTGACACTTAATTTAAATTTCTTAGTAAATTTCTTAATGGAAATTTCAGTTTCTTTAAATATAAAATAGGGATAATATATTTTTTAAAGATTTTAGTTATTTATTTGTCAGAAAGAGAGAGAGGGCACAAGCTGGGGAAACAGCAGGCAGAGGGAGAAGCAGCCTCCCCGCTGAGCAGGGAGTCTGATGCAGGACTCTATCCCAGGACCCTGGGGTCATGATCTGAGCTGAAGGCAGATGCTTAACTGACTGAGCTACCCAGGTGCTCCAAAATGGGGATAATATTATCTTCTTTGCAGAGTTGGTTCTTTCACATCATTTATAGGATCCTGAAAAAACCTTGTGCTCTGCAAAATCATGGACTAAAAACAATAGGGCATCTGGGAAAACCAGTTGGATCAGACCATTCAAAACTCATGTAGCTTTGTAATCAAAACACTAAAAATAAAAGTATAAGCACAGTTTTTAAAAGTCATGTTAACTTTTAAGCAATAAAAAATATTAAATGTGGGATTTAAAAATAAAATGAGGGTATCCAGATGGAAGGAGTATGTCTAGATGGAAAGGAGGATAAGTCTGCACAGTTATGGTGTCAAGGGAAATATTCACAAAACCAGGAAGAACCCATGCAAGAAATACTTCTAAGGTGGAGTTTTGTTTTGGCCAAAGTGAGCCAAAAGGAAGAACATGGGATGAATGAGCGTCATATTTAGTTCTGTATTTTGCTAGCTTTCTGCATCCAGCTGTGCTAATGTTCTTTGCTTTCAGCTGCTGTTATTAGTAGATATAGTGGACACTGGTGCTCCCGTAGCCTCTTTAGTTCAGCTAGTTTACCCATCCCAGTGAATGTTGGCTGCTAACAACTCAAGCTGCCCCATGTTCCAGAGAACTGTTCTTAGACAAACAGAAAACAATCTCACCCCCTTCCCACTGGCAGTCTTCAGTCATGACTGGCTAACATTGGACCCTTGCTTCAAAGTCAGAGCAGCTCTGGTACAATTCACAGTCCAGTGGAATCAAGCTGACATCACATTCTTACTTAGTTTCTTCTCGTGCCCTGTTCTAATTCCTTTCTCTTGAGACCACTCCTTCAATCGTTTGTGTGCACTCAAGTGCATTCCTTGGGAACTAACTTCAGATAATACTGCAAAATGTGAACATGTTGGGAAAAATCACATATGAACCAATACTTCTCCTGAGTTATTTCTGAGACAAATGTAGCAGAACACTTTGTACAGTACCTAGCAGAGTTCCTGGCACATAGTAAAAGTCAATAGCAGCCGTGATGAATGTGATGAAGATAATGGTGGTGGGGCAAATATCAATTCCTGCCCAGAAATGTTAAGGTTTTTTCCATTACAAGCCTCATGATGTTTTAGATATACACAACTTGCGTCAAACTTACTGTTTATTTCCCTACTGCTGCCCCACATTGAACTGCTGTTTTTCTAGCAACTTCGAATTCCTTCTACTTTTCTCTCCATTGGTCAAATATCTATTGCTTTCTAAGATTCATTTGAGTTCTATCATTTCTAATACACTTTTTCTAAGTATGTCAAATCATTGAGCTGTTTCCTTCCTGCAAACTGTCGGGTTTTTATTCTCAGCCATCTATTGTATCTCAGGCCTGTCAATCACTGTAAGAAAAACAGTTTACATAGGTACTTCAGACGGTATTCCAAATACTTTCTAATATTGTTTGTCTCTTAAAGAAATAACCATAGGGGCGCCTGGGTGGCTCAGTTGGTTAAGCGTCTGCCTTCGGCTCAGGTCATGATCTCAGGGTCCTGGGATCGAGTCCCACATGGAGCTCCCTGCTCAGCGGGGAGTCCGCTTCTCCCTCTTCCTGCTGCTCCCCCTGCTTGTGCTCTCTCTCTCTCTGTCAAATAAATAAATAAAATCTTTAAAAAAAAAAGAAATAACCGTAGACTTTTAGGAATTTTTGTGAAGTTCATAATTTTGAATATTTATAATTGTTGCGAAGTAATTAAAGCTCTTCTAGTTTATTGAAGAGATGAAAATGTTTTTAGAATAAACTTGCCTCTTTTAGTAAAGATAACTAACTGTCTATAAAAGTTTTAGCCTAACTAGCACAGCACCTTGGACATAGTAGCTATCTAAATATTTGTCATTCATTTTTAATTTAAGTGTTCACAAAATATTATTTTATTATGGTATTGTGTTTTATTCATTATGCTTTACATTTAATATATTCAGAGGCCTTCAGTTTCACTAACGTTAGTTTTTTCACTGAAGTGCAAAATGGCAAAGGACCTAGCGGGTAGATAACTGTACTCTCAATCTTTCCTCTTTAGATTATCGACACAATGGTCGAGATCTTCAAAGCTCAACATTATCGGTGCCAGAACAAGTAATGTCATCAAACCATTGTTCACCGTCAGGATCTCCTCACCGAGTAGATGTTATAGGAAGGACTAGATCATGGTCACCCAGTGTCCCTCCTCCACAAAGGTAGGATGCCATACACATTTTATTTGTAGGATTCTGTTAAAAGCCTATTTATCACAAGGAATCGTCAATAATTTCTAAAGGTAATAAATTCTTGTGGGAGAAAGTTACTTAAGAAAAAACAAATATGTTCTTTGACAGCCTAAATATTGAGAGTAATATGAAACATGGGCTACTTTGTAACTTTGGCTGATGTATGTATTCTTTTATGTGAGAGTTCAAAATCATAAAGAAGACCCAGCTTTCAGTTGCTTATCACTACTGAGCATATCTAGTTAGAGCCAACTAACTACACTCTTGAATGATATAGGTATTGATAATTTAAGAAATAGGAGGAAATAAACATCTGATGGGGTTTTAAAGTTAGGAGCAATCATGCAAAGAATAAAAAAAAAAGCACAGGCAGAGGGAAGAGTGACTCAGAAAATCTACAGCTCTAAGTCTTATGCCTCGTAGAAAACTCTAATCAATCCAGTTAAGTACAGAAAGCTTAGAGGAGTAAGAGCCATGGAAATAATATATTTACTAACAAGAAATATTTATAGAATTCACATTTTATATACTTGCAAAGTTTAAGAAAATTTGAACTCTTAGAATGATAGTTTTATAATGCCTGTTTTGAATGAATAATTGATTTATTTTTAGATTTAGACTTTTTCCTTATTATTTTAATTTTATCCATGGTATTGGGCTTTCTAAGGGAACTTAAGATTTGTTATATTTATGAATTTAATTTATTTAGTGTATAAGGATGTAAGTACTAGAAAGTGTTTACTTAATTTAGACAATTGAAGTAATTAAAAATATGTTAAGTTTATAAAAATTTAAAAATGATTAACTAAGTTTGTAAATGGGACTAAAATTATTAAAAGTCTTCTGAAAAGTAATTGTTCAAATATGGTAGACCTATCAATAGAATAATATTTTTAATCTGAAATTTAAAGTTTAAGAAAGAACTAGATTTTGGATTTTAACTTTAATAAATTAAGCCATTTCTTATTTTTAAAAAAAGGACATTGAACATTATATCAAAAACCAATGATGTACTATAGCTTGGCTAATTGAATTTAAATAAAAAAATTTTTTAAAAAAGGATGCTTGACTTTTACCAGGGAAAGAATATTTGAACACACCTAAAAAAAATAGGCAAAGTTTTGGAATAGATTCAGCTGTACCTAACAGAAAGCAATAGCAAAAGCTATGTGAGAGGCTTATTCTATCATGAAAAAGAATTGTGTAAGTTGACAGTCCAGGCCAAGAATGGTAGCTTAAAATAAATCATCATTGATCAATTATAAAGACTTCAATTTTGATTTTAAAAAACAGATCATAATCATTTTCCTAAAACAAGATACACCAATATTATCTATAAGCAACATGCTGAACTCATTTTCTCCACACAAATTTATTCCTCCTCCTGTATTGCATATAAAAATCACTTTTGGAAGCCTAGGTGTCATCCATTAATAATTTTGATAATCCTTATCTCTATCCCCATTGACACCATGTTTATGTTTATCTCTGTTATAGCAGGGATCTCCCAACTTCACCGTCAGCCTCCAGTTGAAATGTATCCCATTAGCCCGAGATGCAGTTAGTTAAAAAAACTTGGGACTTGACATTACACTGATTTTTGTCTTTTTCTACATTCTTTATTAATAAACGTCCTTTTTGGTGTAGTGCATGATTATGGTTTATTAAAATATTAAATGGATTTTGCTCTTTCAGTCGGAATGTGGAACAGGGGCTTCGAGGGACACGCTCTACTGCTGGACATTATAATACAATTAGCCGAATGGATAGACATCGTGTCATGGATGACCGTTATTCTCCAGATAGAGACAGGTAAATAGGATTAAATACTATGAGACCTTATTATAATTGCTGCCTTCAGGACGAAGGTATTACCATAAAATACTTTCATCCAGAACTTGGATATTTATTAATCTTAGCTTCTAACACCATTTCCTTTACAATGCCTACATTCGTTCTTATGACCACCGTGTAAAAAAATAAAACAAACAAAAACAACCTTTTCTTTGGTTTAAAAAAAATCATCTTGCTTTTGCAGTTTTGGTCCTTTGTTAAATCAAACCAGTTAAGCTAGTGAGTTTGCACACGAGGTTATAAGGATAATTATAACGAAAATAGACATTTTATTATTGTCATTTATTATAACCAATCATTACATATAAATGTACTTCATGAGACAATAGATTTAAAGTCTTTTACATTCATCAGGGAACCAGTGTGACTTTATATATAAAAGTATTGATGCAAGTCTGGTTTGTTTAGGAAACAGACACAAAAACTGATTCATGAAGAGGGTTTTTCCTCATGGCTTTCAGTAAACCTTTTAAGCATCTTAAAGAATTATGCTTATTGATTGCTGTGTTTAGAGGAATTCTCCAAGTTTGCTCCATTAAATGTGACATACTTGGAAATAACATATGTTTCAGTGCATTAATCACACTAATTACTACTAATTTGTTTTAAGTTAAACAAATTAATTAACCCTTGAATTCATGGTTTAGTTCTCTATAAAATGAAAAATGCTACGGTATTTCCCCCACACTGTCAAATAGGTTTGAGATAAGGATTAGCAAAGAAAGCTTAATTTACTATTCGGAGAATATTTCGATAAAATAACAAGGGAATGCAGAAGTCTCTTTGTATGAGACCTAAACCAATTGTAATAAGAACATCTTAAATCAACTGACTTGAGAAGTTCCCAATATTCATCATTGTCAATATTTATAAACTTAATTGTTTTCATCTAAATCTAAGGTTATACTCAATTCGGGCTTATAATTTCATTGTGTTAAGTACACTTTTCCAAAAGAAAAGATAGGGAACATCTATCCTAATCTTCAATAGTGTCAAACAAGTATTGGCTTTTGTGTCTGAGACCTAAGAAGAAATAGAAGTTATTAAATTAGTATCTTTATTAATTGTTAAATAAAAGTTAATGTGGTATTTTATTTTTTTATTTGCTTAACTTTTTCATAGTGATCTGTGTCTTTAGTGGTAATTATAGGTGTGGTACCTAAAGAAATTGTATCACATCAAGTATGATACTAGTGAAAGAAACGTAACTATATGGGCACGATCAGGAGTTGGAAGAAGTCATATTAGGGTGGGTGAATGAGTACTTTTATTACATTATAGAATTCTAATAAGTTTGATCATCTCTGGAAATTATTTATATAGCGATTCATAAACTCCTCGTTCTTTGAAAGTTCCTTAAGGCAATGATGAAAGAAAAAAGTCTGAAATGACTTTAAATCCTTCAAGTTTGCATGAAGTTTTTCTTTAGATGAGAAATGGACTTGATATTTTCTCTGAAGACAATATGGTCTAAATCTTGCAGAGAGGAATAGAATAAAATTAACCTCTACAATGATATTCACAAACAAAAATAGTCACTATCATGCAAACACATAATAATTTATCAGTATTTTAAGACAAATGGCCGTAGCATTAATGATAAAAGACTTGCTGTTAAATCCTGGGTATATAGCTATTATAGCCATAATGCTATGTCATTATATTTATTCTTGTTTATAACTTTATGAATCATTTAGTTTGACAAAAATGTTCAAGTAATTCAGAAGTTTTGGAGGAATTTGACCCCTGGGGCTTCATCACTTTTTTAGAGTGCTGTAGATTACCAAATCATAATTACTGGGGTTTCATCACTTTTTTAGAGTGCTGTAGATTATCAAATCATAGTTACCCCTAATTGTGAGCCGTTTTACATTTTTTTAAATAACTAAAATACACACTGGGTGTTATGAACAAACAATGAATCATGGAACACTGCATCAAAAACTAATGATGTAATATATGGTGATTAACATAACAATAAAAAATAAAAAAAAATAAATAACTAAAATACAATTTCTTTTAAATAAGACTATAAAACTATTTCTAATATTATATTTAAGTTATCTGTGTAAACATTACTTATTAACATGAGGGATCAAAAATCAAAAAGTACAATAGTATCCATGTTAGGTAGTCTATCAAATTATTAAACAATGGGTTCTTAATTTCTGTGTTATGCTTTATATTCTAAATATTCTAAAAGATTTTCAATAATAGAATGCATGTGAAGACATCGTAATTTTTATGCACTCTTTAGAAGGTAAGAATTCTCGAGCTCTTACAGTGAATTTTCATGAGTAGTGTTTTATATAGTCAATCGATAATACTGTTGATTAAAAAGCCTACAAGAGAATTTCCTTTGAGATAGTAAGTAAAATGTAGGCATTTTGAGTGGTGCATTAACTTTTCTTGTCAGTAATAAATGGTGCACTGGACCAGAAGAGTATTTTATTGAATATACTCTTTTTTTGTAGGATTTGGAGCCAAATGGCATTGCATTTTAATGTAGGCTTTTTATTACTTGCTAGCTGTGTTTCTTTGGGAAAATTAATGTCTTTGGCACTTGATTTCCTTATCTATAAAATTAGAACATTAGTAACAACTTTATAAGGTTGTGGGGTAGATTAAATGACACAGCACCTCCAGTTGCATAGTACGTACTCAAAAAATGCGCCTTACTCTTAACATTTTAAAAGATCCTGTGGCTTACAAATAATTGACATCTTAATGTGCTTATTAACTAAGCAGAAAAAAAGAAATCAGTTAATACAGGTATTTTCTTAAAAAAGCTTTATAGAGAGTGTAGAACATGAGTTGGACCTTGAAAAATGGACATGCTTATTTAGGCAAGAACAAAAGCATAAATACAGAGGCAAAACATACATATATGTCAGAAAGACCCAGTATGAAGGATGAAGGACTTGCGACATATTGGAAAGTTGTGCATGAAGATAATGGCTTTTACATTGGCTATACTGGGTGAGAAATGATGCTATTTGGCATTAATTCATAGTGCCTGGCTAAACCTAAGTGGTATAAGAAGGAGATAATAGTATTCAGATTCCCTTTTTCTTACAGGTAATGTTAAAAAGAATTATATATCAAAATTTGACTGGATCTTTATATCTCTGCACATCTCACTCTGTTATCATTAGTCAAAATCCTATTTTGTTTTGAAAAGAAAATAGGTTCTTCGTAAGTAAATCAAAAACTTGGAGGCAGGGCTATTAGCTAAAATGAAGAATTATAACAGACATCGTTCATCTTCCTCTCCATTCCCCATACTTTTTGGATCATTGTTTCTCTGGCAAATCATGGTAACTATGACTAGGAACATAATTTTCCTGGGGCAACCTATGTGGCTTTAGTATTAGAAACCATTTCAAGAGCTTATGTGTTTACATGAGTTAATTTACTATTAGAATAAATATAGAGTACTAGATAATATTTCTGTAACATGTCAGAGATATCATGCAGGACTCATTTTTATGTTTATCCTGGAGGCCAAAATATATTGGGTACCTTTAATTCTATTCAGTATACCTTTAGCATAATAAGAAAAAAATACAATTAACACTGGCCTAAGATACATTACTTCATAGGCTTTTTTTTGTGCATTCAATTAATACATTTATATTCTAAAAAGAAAAATGTCATATTATATGGATCTCTAGGATACCTCACACACTTATGCCATTTCTTACTCTTTATCAGCCAACCAGCTATAAGGAAGTGTCAAAATTACCCATAACTATTTATAGTCTTCTTGGTCCTTTTAGTTATCAACAATGAGGGGAACACATCTCTGAAAGTTTGAAAATACAGAGAAAGTAAAATAAAAGTAATACATTTTATTACATTTCAGGAATATATTTTAACATAGTTAAATCATACTGAGAATGTTTTAGGAACTATAAAGTAGCAAAACATTAACAATATTAAAGACACAGAACAGAAAGTTTTGCATTAAGCTGAGATTGTTGGAAACTTTGCTTTCAAAAACTATAGGTTGTTTAAGGATGAGATATTTTATTTCTTCTTTTTGCAGTCCTTTTTGTTTGGTAGTTTCTAAAAGGAGACATTCAGATTCATCTGATATAATGGAAGGATAATTCATTATAAATACAGTTTTGTTCTGTCTTTAAAGATTACATTTCCTAATAAGAATCAGAGTGTCTAGAAATTAGATCAGTACTCCAGTTCAATTATTTGAATAGTGAAATTTGTCATTATGATTTTTGAATCTATAATTTCTTTTTTATTCTTTAAAATTTAGTAATTCTTTTAGTTCTCTATTTTTTTTACAATGAGTTACTGCTCTGCTCAATTTTTAAAAAAATTTTCAAAGAGATTGGATAAATTGCAATTTTTAACATAATTTTTTAACTCATTATGTATATTGGCGACAGTATTGTTTACTTGGGTTTTATAATTCCATTAATTTTGGAAGAAATGTAAGAATGATTTAACTGAGAAGAATAAATGAAATGTTTTTAAGTTGTACCAAGTGGATGTGGCAAAGGACCTTGAATGCATCCCTGGATCTTAGGTGGATTTTACTTCCAAAACAATGTGGATTTAATTTTATGTAATATTCATTGATGCATTTTTATACTTTTCAACAGAATCTCAAGGGGTATCATGACCAGACTGGGTTAAGAGGTATAACATGACTATAGAAAACTATGCATTTCGGGTTCTCCAATGAAACAGAGCCAGTAGGATAGATAGATAATAAGGATTTGGCTCACATAATTATAGAAGTCACAGGGCCTACCATATGCTCTCTGAAAGCTGGAGACCCATGAAATGATGGTATAATTTGGTCCAAGTCTGAAGGCTTGAGAACCAGGGTGGCCAATGTTATAAATCCCAGTCTGAGGAACAGAGAGATTAAGAGATGTCCAGCTCTAAAGTGAGGCAGGAAAAAGGGAGGAATTCATCCTTTTTCCTACTTT